CATCAGAAGCAGCTTTCACGTCTGCGAGATGAGATCGAAGAGAAACAGAGCATCCTTGATGAGCTGAAAGAGTAAGTACTTTATTTCTGATTACTTCTAATCCGTCATGTAATTGTTTTATATCTAATATTAATTTGTAATATTTCTTTTTAGACAGTTAATACATCTGCTTTTGACTGGTATTACTCCAAATTAATGAGCTTATAAAAACAATAGTTTGATTCATTCAATAATTCCCTGCTGTCAGTGTGAACCAGGCTCTTCAGCTTGAACAGAATCAGCTCAAGTCTGACAATGAAAAGCTGAAACAAGAGGAACAGAAGAAGGACGAGAGGCTGCAGAAGCTTCTGTGAGTCAACTGCTCATATTACAAAGTCGTATAAATGATCTGCTCATGGAATAAGTCAAAGATAGATTTTAAGAGCGACAATGTTTGTAAAACAGCTCTGTTCCACTAATAAAGATATTTTGAGCACATGTTATCATTTTTGTTGTAATCAGCTTGTTGAATGAGAAGAGGGAGCAAGCTAAAGAAGATCTCAAGGGTCTGGAAGAGACTGTGGTGAGTACTATTACATTACCTGGCATTCCTAGAGTTTGTCTCTGCACACCACCATCTGCTATCTCAGAGTTGTTCACCTTGAATATTCAACCTGTAAAGCTGTTATTTTTGTACAAAGTCGTTTTTAGATCACTGATCATGCTATTTTCTTTTCAACAAGGCCAAAGAGCTCCAGACTCTCCACAACCTGCGTATGCTGTTTATTCAGGACATCAATAATCGCATTGGACGAGTGAGTATACAAAACAAATACTGTTCCCTGCTTTTTTGATATTACAGCTGCTAGTTACTGTTTGTAGGAATAGGAATTTCTAACAATAGGAATGAAGTAACACGTTAAAACAATACGCTACATGCAAAAGCACTGTTTTTGGGATTTTTGCTTCCATAAATTGTCTTCTTTCAGACTAGTGGATAGAGCATATTTATTTTAGTTTATTTTACTACACTTTATCTATGTGCATCTGTAGATATTAATTTAAACACATATCATTAAAGGATGTTTTCTCATTTTTTTTCCATGCACTGAGCCAAAAATCTCCTTTCAGAATAGGTTTATTCCTATCTAAATTCTAAATACAATTCCTGATTTATTTGGTTGACACATTAGTTAAAGGATTTTACAGAGGTTAAGGTTTTTTACATTTTGGATAGCTATTTTTATCAATCCATAAATCAACAAATACTTTCAACAGCAAGAAAAACTATACATGTTTTTAGGAATATGTTGTATAAATCGTGTAAAATTACATGAATGAACAAACTTGAATAAACAAAACATGTAAAAACCTCTGTGAAAACCAATAACATTTTTATTATGTCAACAAGAATTGAACCTGGCTTTATCCAATGTTCAGATTTCTGTTCTGGGACATTATGCAAATTAGAGCTAATTTAATTTGATAATGCATATTTGAATATTTAAACATAACTTTTTAGAAAATGTATAATACAAAGCTTTTTTTAGTTATAACCTTTTTACCTATTAAACTGCCTTTTAAAATGGTTCAGATAAATGCAGTGTAACAAGCCACTGTGAAAAAAAAACCCATTTCTGTTTTATAGAGTGCAGAGCTGGACACTGATGAATCAGGGGGAAGTCTGGCACAAAAACAGAAAATAATTTTCCTTGAGAATAACCTGGAGCAGCTCACTAAAGTCCACAAGCAGGTTTGTAGAATTTAAAACTTTCCACAGAAATCACAAATATAATAAACTATAACAAAGTAATAGTAATAATGTATATTGTAATATAATATGATATTAATAATTCTGTCTATATATTCTGTAATTTTCATAGCTGGTACGTGATAATGCAGACTTAAGATGTGAGCTGCCCAAACTGGAGAAGCGCCTGCGTGCAACTGCTGAGCGAGTGAAGATCCTGGAGTCTGCTCTAAGAGAGGCCAAAGAAAGCGCCATGAGAGACCGTAAGAAGTACCAGCAGGAGGTGGACCGCATCAAGGAGGTCATCCAGGCCAAGAACCAGGCCAGGATGAAACACACCGCACAGATCGGTCAGAGCTGCTTCATCTTCAGATCGCAATGTTGCATTATATCCAGTAGAGGGCACCACATACTCAGTAATACCTTGTCTCTGGTTACCTAATGCCCAAACGATCTCAAGTATTGGTGCATGTCTCCCATACATCATGCATGTTCCATATATGTATATATGTATATATGCATATTCATTTAAGTTAAAAGTTTTTTTTATATATTTTTCAATTTAAACTACACTGTCTCTTATAGCTAAGCCTATTCGTGCTGGACATCATCACCCAGCGGCTTCTGCCTCACCGGGCCACAGTATCAGAGGGGGCGTCCCAAGCCCACGACGACACCACCAGCACCAACAGCAGCAGCAGCAGTACCATCACAGGAGCAAGTGAAAAACTCTCCACGTACGTTTGGCTTAGTGCCTTTTCTGCTACAACTATATGTATTGCTTCATTTTAACCCTGTAACAACTGGCAGGTGAAATAACTCTGCTGAGAATGCAGAGCTCAAAATCAAGAAGGGGAAAAAAACTCCTTGATTTTATTGAGGAATAAAATGAGCAAATATATACAATTTGTAGACTAATGCTATATAGCAGACTTACTGCATACATAAAATGTATTTAAATATCAATTGTCATTCTATATCTCCCAATAATATGTCTTAGTAAGATGATATTGTACATAATTTATGATCAAAGACCTGTTTAAATAGTTAGGGGTGAAACGTGCAATACAATGATGATTGAGAGATATACAAATAAAGGTTCCTCAAAAGCCTGATGTATGCTATTTCATTGAAACTTTTTTTCTTGGCTTCTTTCTGCCTTGAGTCTTTTTGTATTTGAAAAATACAATCACATTCTGATTACAGTAATTCAGCACATCTGTCATTACTCACGCCAGGTGAGTTTCCATAGTAGGAAGTCTGTAAAGATGAAAAGTTGTCACTAGAACCTACACTGGAAGGTTGTATACCCTCAGGAGTTACATTAAGACCTTTCTGTGGTTCTTTTAACTGGCACTAATTCCTTCGGTCTTAATGGCCATTGAGAACATGCAGTGACATGGGAATGTAGCTTAGGAATACATACATTGCTTCAAGCTTAATTCATCATGGTTTATAATAACTAATAGTGCTATTAGATGTTAATTTATTTATTTATTTTATATACATTAAGTATCGGAATTAAGTATTTGGTTTACATATTGTCTTTTGTATATTATTTTTAAGTTCCTCTAATTAGATCTAGGTCATCATGTGTACATGTTTTTATACAGAATATAGGTGCTTTGAAAATTTATTAATTTATACCGTAAGGTGCTCTGGAGCAAACAACAACTGTAAAATATCAGTATTTATTACCACATTAGTGGTAAAATCAGGAATCATTACTCTGTCATATATTGGCTGTTACTTATACTGACCTGTTTTGAAGGGCATGAAATGCAGTCATTTAGAGAAAGCCAAAGTCAGAGACATTACAACATATGAAAAAATCAGATAAGTTCAAGAAAGCAAAAGTGGAGAGATTTTACAGCTGATTGTTTATTTGCCATTCATGTGCTGAATTTTACAGCATAATTTAATTTTACTTATTTTTGTATAATTATTTCTTATTCTTGATAGCATGTGATATGACCGACCAATGATTCTTTAAAAAAAAAAAACTCCAAGGAAAAAATATCAGACTTTCTCAAGAACCACAAATATCATTTCAACAGGTAAACCATGCTATCATGCCATAGCTATTTACATTCTTGTGCTAATGCAAGAATGTTGCCTACTATCTCTCTTGTGTTAATTGCCTCTGGTACGTCTATATGTTCATTATTGTTTTATCAGCTGTAACAAAGTGATCAGTACATGAAAATGTTAATATGGTGAAACAAATTCTTACTCAGTTTACTGTAAAAACTGACCAACTCCATGATAAGTAATGTGAGCACTTTCTTGCAACTTTCTTGTTGGATGTTGTGAACTGATAAAGAAAAAAACAAATGCATTGATGGAAATTCATCTCTGTTTCTATTTGAGAACCTGTCCTATCAAAAAGACTTCCTTCATCACTTAAATAATTAGTTTTTCCTATTTAAAAGATCATCTAATGTCAAATATACAAACCCCATATCCTAACCAGGTCTAGTGTTTTTGTTTTTCCGTGAACAACTCTATTGTGGTGAGTACTGTACTGCACACAGAGACCTCATCAATTTTGTCTTGTTCATCCGTGTTTCTGAAGTCTCTGAAATGTGCTATAACTTTACCTCAGCAGTGTATGAAGCTTTTAAAAATGAGAAATTAAAGAACATGGAATGAACTTCAAATTATACAGTTGTTTTGTAGGTGAAGGACGTGCCACAACAAGGATATGAAAAGGTTTCAAGTGTCTGTTTCAAGATAAAGCACACGTGTTATGGACTTGGTTGTACCTATAGTGTGACACTCATTTATCAGATGTTGATGTGGAATAAAAAAGTTTACTAAATGTATCTTGCAGTAATTTTGTCTTTTCTTGGCAAACAAGTTTTTCTTTGCTGTAATTTACTTTTAGGAAAAATATGAGCAGGACAACATATATAGCTAGTGTTGACTGGTGACAGTAAAGAACAGTATAAAGGCAAATACACATTTTCCGCAAATCGATTCTTTTGAACAGTTCGTGTCAAAGAACCGAAGCTAAATATATTCACACTTTTAATAAAATTGCGTCATCAAATGATCCTGACTTCCCAGTGAGAATATTACAACATGGACTAAAATGATCTAATAAATCCATATGTAGCATGCACATTACTTTTTATTGAGTTTTCAGTTTTTTTTACCACGTTAACGAATCATTTAGTTATGTGAACTGGTTCAATCGATTCATTAAAAGATTCAATAGGCTACAAAAGAAAGAAAAAGAGCAATCCTAACCTCGGGATCCAGTCGACCAATCAGAGACTCATGTGTTTATGAGAGCGGTGAGACGCGAAAACCTCAACGCGCTCATTTAAAGTTGACTGTGGGCGTAGTGTTGTGGGCTAGTCCCGCGTCGCAGAGGGGATGTGGGTGACCTTCACATAATACTAGAAGATGTGATTTTATTTCTGTTCATATGAATGAAGTCAGACACGTCGACGGTGAGTATGCTTTGAGCTCTCTAAGTTTGACAGTTAAAATTCTACGGGACAAACGCTAGATCTCTTTGATAACACCAAACTCATGAACGAAACGCCAGCACAGCGTGACTCATTGTTTAACGTTAGACACTTTTACATGATGCTAGTCTAAATCTTTTATCGGTTGCTTAGACCTAATGACCACCTGAGCAAGATCTTCGCTTCAGTTTGAGTTCCCTGTCATTCACAGCTTTAAACTAGGCAGACCGGGGCTAGTTGTCACATGTTTTATTTCACTGAATATAACACTCAGCATGATGTTATTTTATAACATGCCTTTTTTGACACACCTCTAAGTCTTGGCTACAAAAAAAAGTAAATGTATTTCATTAAAGCACGTTGGGATATGTTCATGTTGACACTGTATTTAAAATCAAAATGCCATTATCCACAATATACAAAGTAGGCAAGTTAATTATTTTTTCTTTATAATTTGATCATAATAATAATAAAACAGAAGAAATGGAAAGGCATACAAAATGTTCAAATATTTATCATTTATTTGTAATTATTTATAAAATTACAGCATGTGACATTTATGACAAATACCTTGTCCTTCATTATAGTTATTTAAAGCTGCAGTCTGTAACTTTTTTTGGTTAAAAATGATCCGAAATCAATATTTGAGCAAGTACATAACCAGCCAGTGTTCAAAACTATCGCCTTACTTTAGCCCGATTCACAATGGTTAGCTTATAATAATGTTTTCTAATTTGAGTGGTACAGGTAGGTTTTCACGGGAAATTCGAGCATGGCACTGCGTCATTAAGTCACGTCTGTAAACATAAAGAAGTTGTCCCGGCTACTAGGCTATCGCATGTGTGGTTCCTGCAGGTGGCTGATCGTTTATAGCCTTTTCTCACAGCAGCCAGAATAATAAAATTTATCATTTTGATGGCGGATTGTAATCCAGTAAGGATTATGTGATTATGAAACACTTATGAATAAAATTAAAATCTATTCCAGTTATAAATGTGATTCTGATTACAGATTGCCTGGGATTACAAAGATTTGTATTTTAAAGAAAACCAGTTC